GGTTTATTGGACTATGTGGATTCGATGGCCTGGCACATCAGACCCACAGGAGTATAAGGCTTTAGTAGGCACCAGTGCACAGTGTACCTTAATGCCATCAAGCTATAAAGGGGCAGAACCCATCTGTATTTCTGGAGTGCCAGGGGGATCCCAACAGCTGACTGTACTGGAGGCCAAAGTGAGCCTAACTGGGAATGAGTGGCAAAAGGACCCCATTGTGAGTGGCCCAGAGGCCTATGCTTGGCATAGACTGCCTCAGGAGAGGGTATTTCAAGGACCCAGAAGGGTACCGGTGGGCTTTTGGCATAGCTGCCTTGGAGACAGAGGAAATTAAACAGCTGTCCACCTTGCTCGGTCTTTTGGAGGACCCTTCTGTTGTGGGGTTGCTGAGGGTCAAAAGACAACAGGTGCCAGTTGCCACCACAACGGTTCACCAGCGGCAATATTGCACCAACTGAGACTTCCTGATTCCCATCCATAAGCTGATTCATCGACTGGAGAGCCAAGGAGTGATCAGCAAGACTCGCTCAGCCTTTAACAGTCCCATAAGGCCAGTGTGAAAGTCTAATGGAGAGTGGAGACCAACAGTAGACTATTGCAGCCTGAATGAAGTCACGCCGCCACTGAGTGCTGCTGTGCCGGACATGCTAGAACTTCAATATGAACTGGAGTCAAAGGCAGCCAAGTGGTATGCCACAACTGATATCGCTAATGCGTTTTTCTCAATCCCTTTGGCAAGAGTGCCAGCCACCGTTTGCTTTCACGTGGAGGGGCATCCAGTACACCTGGAACCGACTGCCCCAGGGGTGGGGGCACCATTTGCCATGGACTGATCCAGACTGCACTGGGACAGGGTAAGGCTCCGCAACACCTGCAATACATTGATGACATCATCGTGTGATGAAAAAGCAGAAGAGGTTTTTGAGAAAGAAGAAAATAGTCCAAATCCTTCTGAAAGCTGGTTTTGCCATAAAACAAAGTAAGGTCAAGGGGCCTGCACAGGAGATCCAGTTTTTAGGAATAAAATGGCAAGATGGATATCATCAGATCCCAATGGGTGTGATCAACAAAATAACAGCTATGTCCCCACCAACTCGCAAAAAGGAAACACAAGCTTTCTTAGGCGTTGTGGGTTTTTGGAGAATGCATATTCCAAATCACAGTCTGATTGTAAGCCCTCGCTATCAAGTGACCCGGAAGAAGAACGATTTCAAATGGGGCCCTGAGCAACGACGAGCCTTTGAACAAACTAAACGGGAGATAGTTCATGCAGTAGCCATGGGCCAGTCTGAGCAGGACAAGATGTAAAAAATGTGCTCTACACCGCAGCCCGGGAGAATGGCCCTACCTGGAGCGTCTGGCAGAAAGCACCAGGGGAGACTCGAGGTCGACCCCTAGGGTTTTGGAGTCAGGGATACAGAGGATCCGAGGCCCGCTATACTCCAACTGAAAAAGAGATATTGGCGGCATGTGAAGGGATTCGAGCTTCTTTGGAAGTGGTTGGTACTGAAGCACAGCTCCTCCTGGCACCCCGACTGGCAGTGCTGGGCTGGATGTTCAAAGGGAGGGTCCCCTCTACACATCATGCAACTGATGCTACGTGGACCTAGTGGGTTGCACCAATCACACAATGGGCTTGAATAGGAGACCTCAGTCACCCAGGAATCTTGGAAGTGATCATGGACTGACCAGAAGGCAAAGATTTCGGAATATTGGCAGAGGAGGAGGTAATGCGTGCTGAGGAGGCCCCACTGTATAATAAACCACCAGAAAATGAGAAGCAATGTGCCCTGTTCTCTGATGGGTCCTGTCATCTTGAGGGAAAGCATCGGAGGTGGAACGCTACTGTATGGAGTCGTATATGACAAGTCACAGAAACTGCTGAAGGAGAAAGTGAATGGAGTCAGTTTGCGGAGGTGAAAGCCATCCAGCTGGCTTTGGATATTGCTGTATGAGAAAAGTGGCCAATGCTCTGTCTCTACACTGACTCACGGATGGTGGCAAACGCCCTGTGGGGGTGGTTGCAGCAATGGAAGCAGAGCAACTGGCAAACCCATCTGGGCTGCCGCATTGTGGCAAGATATTGCTGCCTGGGTAGAGAACCTGGTTGTAGAAGTACATCATGTAGATGCTCACGTACCCAAGAGTTGGGCCACTGAAGAACATCAAAACAACCAGCAGGTGGATCAGGCTGCTAAGATTGAAGTGGCTCAGGTGGATCTGGACTGGCAACATAAGGGTGAATTATTTCTAGCTCAGTGGGCCCCTGACACCTCAGGCCATCAAGGAAGAGATGCAACATATAGATGGGCTCGTGATCGAGGGGTGGACTTGACCATGGACACTATTGCACAGGTTATCCATGAATGTGAAACACGCACTGCAATCAAGCAAGCCAAACAGTTAAAGCATCTCTGGTATGGAGGACGATGGCTGAAACATAAATATGGGGAGGCCTGGCAGATTGATTATATCAC